TGGACAAATCGGACAACCGGCTGTTATAATTCCATCGTCGAAAGCGCAGCAACGCGCGGAAACGAAGAATCCGATGTTGACTAAAATTTCCAGAAACGACCCAGCCTTGATACAATACGCTCGACAAACTTTCGGTACGTTGGATCTTACGGAGGAGCAATGGAAAAAAGCCGAGGATCATTACAAGGTGACGGAAAATTTTGAATTACTCGGAGCGTTTGTGATTTAAGATTTAAGACTACTCGAGCTCGTTGCTAAACTCTTCGATCGATCGAACCGTTCGTTCAATCAATTCAACTCGTTGAATCAATTTTCATTCAGATAAATCTTCTTTATCAAAACTTATTGAGGAAAAGAGAAGAAGTGAGACGTTTGGAAGCACAGGGCAAGCACAAATACGAATACGACAGCGACGAAGAGACGGAAGGTGGTACTTGGGAACACAAACTCAGATCTGCCGAAATGGAGGCTACTCAAATGTGGGCAGAAGAATTGACGGCTCAAGCAGAAGGGAAACATCACATTGGCGATTTTTTACCGCCGGACGAGCTGAAAAAGTTCATGGAACAGTACAACGCGGTCAAACAAGGAAAAGAACCCGATCTGAGCGATTACAAGGAGTACAAACTGAAAGAAGACAACATAGGTACGCACTTTGCGTTTCCGTCAGCGACCAAGAAATTCGTAGAACGCGTGTCGTCGTTTTCAACGATGTATTCTCCTCGTTCTTGTTCTCTAGGATTTCAGATGCTACAAAAACTCGGTTGGAGCGAAGGACAAGGATTGGGTAGCGAAGGCAGTGGTCGGGTCGAACCTATCAACAAGTAAGTAATCTGTAAAAATGTAGTTATCGCGTCCGTCGATATCGACAATTGGCGAGAAAACAGCTCGCGATCGTCCGAGAACGTCGCTCGCATCGTCGTTGATCCATTCTCCGCCGGTTGATTCGCCACTCGTTTCGCGTTTGATCGTTGTTCGTTTTTCTTCCGTAGAGCAACCAACAGATTCGACAGTGCCGGTTTAGGTTCCGAACGACCGGACGGTGTATCCAGAGACGACGACGAATTCGATGCCTATAGAAAGAGGATGATGCTCGCCTATCGATTCAGGCCTAATCCTTTGGTAATTTTGTCAAACTCGGAAAGAAACGAGTACCCACTCCTCGTCGACTCCTCCCACCCAGCAATTCGATTCACGTCCGATCGACGACGAAACTCTCATTTCTCTTTGCTTTATTTTCAGAACAATCCTCGAAGACCTTATTATTGAGAGAAGGCGATACATCGATACGACGTTACATCCGCGTGGCATTGCGCGTTGAAATTTCCACTCAGTCGGAAGGAAAGTCGTCGTTATTTTGTACATTTGAAATATCGTAAACGCATAAGATCACGATCGTAAGAAGATGTACGCTAAAACGCAATACACGACGATGCGAAAAAGTGAAATCCCAAACTTGAAATTTTCCGTACACGACAAGCGTCACGTACACGGGTTAGAAACAGCGATCAAGAGCGAGTTTCATTTATTTCGAACTCTATAGGTCGAGCCGTGTCGCGTCGCGTCGCGTCGCGTCGAACGCAATTCGCACATTTTTTTATTCGTATGCCAAATCGTTAAATCGAGCGGAACGAAAGAAAGGGTTGCCCGAGAGACAGTTGCAAAAACTGT